AGTGGTGGTGGCAGTAGAAGGGTTAGTTGCGTAATTAACCCGACCCAGTAACAAGCGCATTCAGGCTGCAGGCACAGATTGTGGACCATTAGCTGGACAATCGCTGTGCAGGGTGCAGCTGGGCGGGGCCTTGTTACGCGTGTCACACCGCGGTTTTAGATCGGCCGGCCCTTCAGTCACGAGTTTGGTGAGAAGGTCTGGGGTCTGACGCCGTGGGCGTGACGTATTACTGTTAGTCGCGGTCGTCGTGCGATTGTCACCCTGTTGGTGGTGGCAACCGCGGGCCGTGACACTGTGCATGGGTACAGGCATACTACCCTGGTTGAAGACAGTCTGTGTGTAGGGGTGAATAGCTTTACGCATATGTGGGTTTACACAAGTAGAAATATAAACCTCCTAGATTGTAAGCTCGAAAGAGCAGGGCCCTTGACCCCCTTGTGTTTTGTTTTGTTACTGTATTGTCTCATGTTCTGTCCCCCACTATAATGTACAGCGCTGAGCAAACCTTTTAGCTCTATATAAATACTGTATAATAATAAGTAAACAGGCATACGGCCACATACAGCCAACAGTAACTATGGTTGGTTGTACACTGCAACTATGTTTCCTGGCCTCAGAAATACAGCAACAATTTATGGCCTTATGCGTCTCTGTGCATCATTTCCAGTCCCAAATAGTTGATTGCAATTTTAGAAACTCTTTTTCTGCTAGGATTAGACTCTAGATATATAAAATGAATGTAGGTCTACCCTAACCACATTCTTAGCAACTTCCATTAAAGCCCAACTCTGGGCATAATAAGCTCAACAGGGTTTATTCAGCTATATATTCACAAAACATTCACAAAACTCACAGCCCCATGTTTCAATCAGATGTGTTTTATGTAGAAGAGAGCCTGTATGATGGAGGATGAGTTTGAGGCACTGGAACGTTTAACTGAATGAACCCTGTTAAGTTTATTGTGCTCCAAGTTGGGCTTTAAAAATACTACTCATTTAGGCTCTAAACGTAAAGGTGCTGTTTAATCGTGTTATAAATGCAGCCTAAATGCATCGGCTGTAGATTTAAACAAACTTTAATAAGGGGTTAGCAAACTGGAAGCTTACTAAATGTCTGCTAAAGCGTGTTTAAAGTTAGACAGTACTACTACTATGATTTGTATTCAATAGGGCAGGGTAAAGCAGAACAGCAATCAACAATAGGTTATTATTTAGGGTGCTTAAACCTCTCCACAGTGTATCAATCTCTTCTTAGTACAGTGGTCTCCAGATTGTGACTGGGGACCGGATATGGCCATTTGTTTGCTTTTATCTGGCCCTTGGGGTATTATAACCCCCACTGTCATCAACAGTGGGGCAAAGTTCCTGCCACTTACACCAACAATGGGACACTATTCCACCCACTGATACCAATGATGGGGCAATATTCCTCCCACTGATGCCAATGATGGGGCAATATTCCTCCCACTGATGCCAATGATGGGGCACTATTCCTCCCACTGATGCCAATGATGGGGCACTATTCCTCCCACTAATAACAATGATGGGGCACTATTCCCCCCACTGATACCAATGATGGGGCACTATTCCTCCCACTGATACCAATGATGGGGCACTATTCCTCCCACTGATACCAATGATGGGGCACAATTTCTCCCACCGATACCGATGATGGGGCACTATTTCTCCCACCGATACCGATGATGGGGCACTATTTCTCCCACCGATACCGATGATGGGGCACTATTTCTCCCACCGATACCGATGATGGGGCACTATTTCTCCCACCGATACCGATGATGGGGCACTATTTCTCCCACCGATACCGATGATGGGGCACTATTTCTCCCACCGATACCGATGATGGGGCACTATTTCTCCCACCGATACCGATGATGGGGCACTATTTCTCCCACCGATACCGATGATGGGGCACTATTTCTCCCACCGATACCGATGATGGGGCACTATTTCTCCCACCGATACCGATGATGGGGCACTATTTCTCCCACCGATACCGATGATGGGGCACTATTTCTCCCACCGATACCGATGATGGGGCACTATTTCTCCCACCGATACCGATGATGGGGCACTATTTCTCCCACCGATACCGATGATGGGGCACTATTTCTCCCACCGATACCGATGATGGGGCACTATTTCTCCCACCGATACCGATGATGGGGCACTATTTCTCCCACCGATACCGATGATGGGGCACTATTTCTCCCACCGATACCGATGATGGGGCACTATTTCTCCCACCGATACCGATGATGGGGCACTATTTCTCCCACCGATACCGATGATGGGGCACTATTTCTCCCACCGATACCGATGATGGGGCACTATTTCTCCCACCGATACCGATGATGGGGCACTATTTCTCCCACCGATACCGATGATGGGGCACTATTTCTCCCACCGATACCGATGATGGGGCACTATTTCTCCCACCGATACCGATGATGGGGCACTATTTCTCCCACCGATACCGATGATGGGGCACTATTTCTCCCACCGATACCGATGATTGGGCACTATTTCTCCCACCGATACCGATGATGGGGCACTATTTCTCCCACCGATACCGATGATGGGGCACTATTTCTCCCACCGATACCGATGATGGGGCACTATTCCTCCCACCGATACCGATGATGGGGCATTGTTTCCTCCCACTGATGCCAGAACCCCCTTTCTCAAGAACCTCCACATTCATATATACACATAGTAGGGCCATTCAGACCGGAGCCAATTAACCTACCAGCATGTCTTTGGAGTGTGTGTGTGGGGGGGGGGGGGGGGGGACTGGAATACCTGGAGGAAACCCACATAAGTACTGAAAGAACATGCAAACTCCATGCACACTTTGTCCTGTTAGTGATTTAAACTAAGAACCTCATTGCTGCACGGCAGAAATACCAACCAGTAAGCTAAAGCATTGCTTAAGGCAAAACTATTTTTCTCACTTTGCATAAAATCAGGGAGAGTTTCCCTTCACTTCCTGTCACATAGGCAAAACAGGAAGTGAAAGGAAATCCCTCCAAAGTGAGGGAATCTCACGGTGTCCCCATTGGAAGATTCCTGTTCTGATGATAACTCAAAATCTGGGATTTTCTTTTACTTTTACATTACTTTTTGATGATAACAGTAAACCGGACAAACAGCATGAATCTCCCTCATGGGGCACAGGCAGCAATATCCAAAACGAAAAAAAAAATATGTTTTACCTTTAGTGATACTTTAAAGTAGAAATAAAGGCAGATTTTTTTTTTTTCATTTTGGATAAAATAAAGGTAGGGTTCTAACCTGTAATTTTTTTTTTTTTTTTGCCATCTGTACTATTGTGGAGATTTCTCTGCGGCTCACAATACAGTGAACAAAGAGTACTCATCCAACATTTTTCATTGCAGCTCATTGACATTTGATAGTGCTGTGATCTTGATGATTGCTCTACCATATTACTCATGCAACATTGTACCTGTACATGAATTTTTATCATTTTTTTACACAAATAGAGCTTTCTTTTGGTGGTATTTAAACACTGGGTTATTTATTTTTTGCACTATAAATGAAAAAAGACTCAAAACTTTGGAAAAAAAGGTTTTCTTTGTTTCTACTATAAAATTTTGCAGACTGGTAACTTTTCTCCACTGATGCACTTAAAAATGCAGCAGAGATTTTTTTTTGCAGCACAGGGGTTTATTTACTAAAGCTGGTTCACTCAGAATCTCGTTCACCTGTGTATGGTAGCCAATCAATTTCTAACCTCAGCTTGTTCAATTAAGCTTTCGCAATAAAACCTGGAAGCTGGTTTCCATACAAAAGTGCACGAGGTTCTGAATGAACCAGCTTTAGTAAATACCTCAGTGTGTACAGAGGTCCATGGCTTTCTGCATTTCCCTGCAATTCAACTGTGTTGCAAAATGCAGGGTAACACAAGCAGTCTGAGCGGCCTCCTGGAAAACCACATTCTTTAGCCTTGTATTGATCACATGTTTCCACTAATTGCTCTTTTGCTCTTATTCCCCCTAGGCCAGTTTTAGACAGCTGACCTCATGTAACCGGTTTTTGCTGATAAAATCATGCAAACAACAACCTCGTTCTTCACATCTGCAAACTGCACAGTTCAGATACTTCAGAACTATTTCAGGTAAGCATTGAGAGTTCCATTTCTAAAGGTATAATGATCATTACTTGCTGGGCCAGATGCAAGGGTCTTCATGATTATTCTCAAGGGTTTGGGATCTCATTCCACAGTTACCTGTTCTCATTAACGGTATTGATGGAAACTTCCACATGCACTTGTTAAATATAATAGCAGATTCAAGTACACTGAAAACATTGAAACCAAACTCCAGCTAACACTTTATAAGAAGTTACAGGAAACATTTTTTTTCCTTTTGGGATTAAGGTTTTACATAAAAGCTGATCACTGTAAGCACCTCTGTCAGTGTTAAAGTGGTTTTAAACCCTCTCATAAACTCAGGGAAGTGAATAGCCTCAGATAGTACACAGAGGTGAAACAAATCCTCCTACATAAGTTTTCCTTTTTTATTTTGCAGTTTTCTCTTGTGTACATCCCTGTAAAAGTGCTGATTTCTCAGTATCACAGAGGAGGGGGCAGGGAGCTGCAGCTAGAGCTGTTTGAAGGAAAGGGGCACACACCCCTCCACACAGCACACAGGAGCTGTGTTCTGAATAGACAAGCTGTCTGCTGAGCTCTCCCTCCCCCTCCCTTTGACACAAATTTATGTCATGTAGAAGTGACAGATGCTGAAAACAGAGGAACAAGGCACCAGAGAGAAAGGACACTTAGAGCTTTGGAGAGAGACAAGTAAACACTACAGATAGCTGTGCTCTGTTCAGATTTCATGACTGAGGTTTATAACCACTTTAACCGGTTCAGCTCCGCCCCATAGCAGAAATACTGCTACAGGGCAGCAACTGTGTGTAAAATCACGTGTGTGATTTTTGCATTTCTGGGTAGGGGGCGTGCGCACAGTTAGTGCTGCCAATCACCGTGTCCCAGTTGGTGATTACTCGGCGGCACCCGGTGATTGCCGTGCGTCTCCGACGGTGGAAAGAACTGTTAGTAAACAAAACAGTTTTCCTTCCTGTCAGCTCCTGCACACCGCTTTGCATGTCTGTGCACAGCACAGCCATGCAAAGCAGTGTGCTTACAGTGAAGCACAAACGCAACACACATTGTAAAACGGCACAGAGTTAACCCTTTGATCGCCCGAGATGGTAACCCCTTCATGCCCCGTGCCGTTAGTACAGTGTCAGTGCTTTTTATTAGCACTGATCACTGTATTGGTGTCACTGTGGATGTCAGTGACACCAAGTCAGTTCCCACCAGTGTCAGAATGTGTGTCGCAGTCCTACTATAAGTCACTGTTTGCAGCCATTACTAGTAAAAATGTAAAAAAAAAAAGGCCAGTATATATACCGCCATTTTTTAAACAGTATAACTTTCCCATAAACCAATTAATTGACACGTATTGGGATCTTTTTTTAGCAAAGACATGTTGCAGAATACATTTTGGCTTAATTTATGACGGAATTTGATTTTTTTTTTTTTTTACTGGACATGGGTAATAGCAAAAAGTCAAAAATATTGTTTTATTTTTTTCTCAAAATTGTTGGTCTTTTTTTTTTTTTTTATAGTGCAAAAAATACAAAACGCACAGATGATCAAATACCACTGAAAAAAGCTAAATTTTGGGGGAAAAAAGGACATAAATGTAATTTGGGTGCAGCGTTGCATGACCGTGCAGTTGTCAGTTAAAGTAACATAGCGCCGTAATGCAAAAGATGGCCTGGTCAGGAAGGAGGGTAAATCCTCTGGAGGGCAAGTGGTTAGATGTTTGTCTCATCCCTGTAACTGCAAGAAAGCTTGTTCTTTTGAAAAACAGACTTACTGGCAGGATCACTATGGGAAAATAAATGAAAGAAAGCCTAAAAAAGCAAATTAATACAGCCATTACATCTAAGAACTGGCAAGCTGCAATGTAATGTTTGCTTTTGGGTTTAATACTGCTTAAAATTGGTCCAAGCGGCAGCAATTTAAGCATGCAATAAGGATCATACCTGGAGATCAACTTTAAGCAAAATTGATGTTCTCTCTCCACAACACTGCTCAAGGCCCCCATCCATCTGTTGTGGATCTTGTCCTCTCCCTTTAAAGGAGAAGTACAGCCAAAGCTTGTTTGGCTGTACTTCTTCTGTAGGTCACAGGAGTGGAGCTTGTTCTTCATTCCTGTGACCAGTTTTCAGCTGACAGTGGGCTAAAGTCCGTCTTATGTCACTCTGCAGGTCCCGACCATTTGGTCCGGGTCCAATCAGGAGCCTGGATCGGCACCTGGATCAGCCTCCCAGCTAGCTACTAAGAGGCTCACCCAGCTGCTCCCACCCCCTCCACAGCCCAGCACTCTAGTGATCGCAGGGTCAGCAGAGCAAAGAGCCAGAGACTGACAGTCTCTGCTCTCTGGTCAGAGTGGCAGGGAGAACTGATTGCTCAGTTCTCACCCTTAGAACTAGCGGGGGACAGATGCAGCATCAGATCGATGCTGCATCCACCTAGGTAAGTATAATTTAAAGGTTCATTTTTTTTTTTGTAAAATAACAAACGTGTCTATACTTACCTACTGTGTGCATCCTCCTCTTCTTGGGTCCCCTGTCTCTCTTAGCTCTTCCTGTCTGTTGGGTGCACCATTCACGCATGGAGTTGTGACTTGGCCCCACACCCTTTCTCTCCTCATTGGCTGACTGGCTGTGATTGACAACAGCGGGAGCCAATGGCTCCTGCTTGCTGTCTCAGCCAATGAGGAGGCAGAGACCCGGGACAGCCGAGGCTGTCACTCACATCGCAGGATCGCGATGAAGGTGAAAAACCTGCAGCCTTTACAACCACTTTAACTGCTTGCAGAGAAATACAAAGCAACATGTCTCCATTATAAAACAGCACACAATGTGAAACACACACAGCACACAGTTATCCCTTTTTGATCGCCCCAGATGTTAACCCCTTCCTGCCCAGTGTCATCAGTACAGTGTCAGTGCTTTTTATTAGCACTGATCACTGTATTAGTGTCACTGGGGATGTCAGTGGCACTCAGTTCCCCCCAGTGTCAGAATGCCCCCTGCAGTCCCACTATAAGTCGCTGATCGCCGCCATTACTAGTTTAAAAATTCCAGTATATATACTGCCACTTATAGACGCTATAACATTCACTTAAACCAATTAATTTACATGTATTGGGATTTGTTTTTAGCAAAGACATGTAGCAGAATACATTTTGGCCTAAATTTATGATGAAATTTGATTTTTAAAATTTTTTTTATTGGATATGTTTTATAGCAAAAAATTCAAAATTGTCGGTCTTTTTTTTTTTTTTGTTTGTTTATAGCACAAAAAATTAAAAAAGCAGAAAAAATGGCCTGGTCAGGAAGGGGGATAAATCATCTGGTGGTAAAAAATAAATCCCATACTTCTCTTTTATCACATACAGCTGCACACTGCTTCCTCCAGCATTCAATTTACTTTATTTAAAGTGGCAAAGACAACCCTTCTAGATTCCTCTCCTCTGGGATGTTTTTGCCACTGGTTTATTAAAGATTACTGAATGCTGATGGAAGTGCTGTGGCCTTCCTTATACTTATGACTGTAAGTAAGCAAAGGGTTCTCATAAGAGATGGCACCAGGATGCACTAAGGGAAGCAGGCAAGCTGGGGTAGGCAGTGTGTTGATTCAGGTAATGTTCTGCTGGAAAACCTTGGCTCCTGAAATTCATGTGGATGTTACTTGACATGCACCACCTACTTAAACATTGTTGCTGATCAGGTACATCGCTTCCTAGAAACGGTATTCCCTGATGGCAGTGACTTCTTTCAGCAGGATGTGATCTGCTACACTGCACACATAGTTTAGGAATGGTTTGAGGAACACAACAATGAGTTTGAGATGTGGACTTGGCCTCCGAATTCTGCAGATCTCAATCTAATTGAACATCTGTGAGATGTGCTGGAAAAACAAGACTGATCCATGGAGGCTCCACCCAACAACTTGTGGAATTTAAAGGATCTGCTACTGACAGCTTGGTTCCAGATACCACAGCATACCTTCAGAGGTCTAGCAGCGTTGATGCCCTGGGTGGGCATAAAATTATGGATGATCTGAGTTTCATAAATGAGGTGTCCTAATATATTTTCACTTTAAAATATGAAAAGCACAGTGCAAGATAAATGTAAACCTTAGTCTTGTTGGTATGTTTTTAAAGTAATACTCTTGCCTTCTTTGTACTCTGACTCTTTGCTTGTTAATGTATGTGAATTGAATCGTTTATTTATATTCACAAAGCTGGCTATGGTTTATATTTTTACAGCACTGAATGGTCAGATCGTACAGTTCAAGTTATCAGATATTGGAGAAGGTATCACAGAGGTTACAGTGAAAGACTGGTAAGTGAATGAGAAGCGAGAAGCTGATTTCTGAAGATTGTCACATTGAAAATGAGAGGTTTTGCTCAAGCAGGCAATCAGGTTGATTTTTTTTTCTCATTTCTGTTGTAAGAGCTGCAATTGTTAAACTTGAATATACCTTTGTATGATTGGTATTTATTTTATTTTTCCACACCATAATATAAAAAAGGTTTTGTTCAGAGTCTTCTATTACAGTATACAGGCATTCATATAAAGTGTTCATATACAGTGTTCATATAAAATAGTTCTAGCTTTGAACAGAGAGTTGAAGGAACAGAACTTATTGGTTTTTTTTTCATAGCTGTGTCTGTGTCCATGTGTGAGATCTTCCTCACTTCTGTCAGGACAACAATTCCAATAGTGTATGATGAATAAGCAGGAGCTGCAATCAGTTAAAATTCATATCAAAATGAATACATTTTAAAAAATATACAGCTGAAGTAATATGCAAAAGATGACTTTTGTTTAACCCCACCTCCCTGGGTGGTCTTACGAACCAGATACTGGGTAGGTAGGTTTTGCTTGTGTAGGTAGCATCTACCTATTAATTTTTCCTGTATCAGCTTAAAGTGGATGTAAACCCCAGACATGAACCATGAACAAAGCAGATCCCACTATAGCACATGTGTTGAACACAAGGCCTGTGAGTCGAATCTGGCCTGCCAGGCCATTTCATGTGGCCCTTGCACCTTTCCTGCAGCTATGGCACCACCCTTGTCTCCCTCTCACCACTTTGTCTCAGCAGTTGGCAGCAGAGGAGAACAGAACTCCACTGCCAGATTGCCAGATCCTGTGCTTCTCCCTGCAGCCACGGAGAAGCTCATCTCTGCCCCCCATCTCAGCAGTTGGCAGCAGAAGGGAGGACAGAACTCCTGCTATATATTTTGCAGCCACAGCACCCCCTTGCCTAATCTGGTCACAGCATTTATTAGATCCCATCCCTTCTCTGGTCCTCCCCTAGACCTTTCTTCCCGGCAGCACAAGGTAAGGAGGGGGGGGGGTGCACTGTGATGTAAGAAAAGGTAGGGAACTCTTGACATCTGATGTAAGAGGGGGTGGGGTGCTGGGAATATCTGCTTATACATATTATGAGAATACTACAATTCTATGCCAGTTGAAAAGCAGGGTCATACACCGCTGGTATCATGCACTTGAAACTTGAGCAAGAACCATGTTCTGTCTGAACAGTCTCCAATAAAGTTTCTTGTGGATGTTACCATCGTTGTGCGATCCTCCTATTCAGACTTGCCTCATCTGCTAGAGTAGTGTGAGCGGGCTCTGTGTTGGTCTGCACCTGCCCTTCACATCCTAAGTCTTAAGTTAATACTAAAACAAGTAATAATCAAATGCAGAGGCAATTATTTATTATGATAAAGAGTAGATACTGTGTATAGTCTTACAGATACAACCCGCCCTTTGAGGGCAACCGTAATGCTGAAATCGAGTTTGACATCCCTGCTCTATAGTGTGTACTTGTGTCAAGTCCACTAAGTGTAATTTCTGTCTGCTGCTTCGCTCCCCTGCTATCAGCATGAATTATGTCTCATCTGATTTCCTGACACCAGGAGAAAAAAGGTGACGGGAGAGAGCTCCAGCACACAGCCTGTGATTGACAGCCTCAACTCTGTTCCTGTGTGAAGGGGGGCATGCACCTTCCCTCCAATCGGCTCTAAAAGCTCTCCTCTCTGAGCTCTGCAGTATGTAATTTCAGTTCCCCTGCCCCCTGTTTTCTGAAAGCTCACACAAGCTTTAGAAATTCTGGACTTTCATCAGATGAAGATCTGCTCTTCTGTGCTACTGACTAAACTCAGATAACTGATAACTCAGATATGTGTGTGTGTGTGTGTGTGTATGTGTGTGTATATATATATATATATGTATATGTGTATATATATATATATATATATATATATATATATATATATATATATATATATATATATATGAGCCTGTGAACAGCTGAGATTAATTGTCACCAGGTAGGATGTGGACCTAGGTGTGGAAACTTTATTCCACCCAAAGCTCTGCAAAGCCTCTGGGCTTTTGTCTTTTCAGTACCAGCCCCCCACCACTTACTTATTTTCACATATTTTTCTGCCAGAATTGTGTGACTATTTGCTTGTAATATCTGTCTTCTCAGGTATGTGAAAGAAGGTGACACAGTGTCACAGTTTGACAGTATCTGCGAAGTACAGAGCGACAAGGCTTCAGTGACAATCACCAGCCGCTATGACGGGGTTGTTCGGAAGCTGTATTACAATGTGGATGACATAGCATTTGTGGGGAAGCCTCTGGTCGACATTGAAACTGATGTTTTGAAAGGTATGTAAGCAAGTTAATAGGATTGTGTATTTGCACCACTAAGTATTATGTTACCACTTAAAGCCTGTCGAGAGAATTATGCAGGCTGCCATTGTGACCTCTTCTGGTGAATGTTATACTGATAGGCTGGCCATAAATTATACAATTTTCTCGCACAATTGTCCTCTAGATTTACCAAAAAATCATATGAGGTCAAACCTAAACACTTTCAGTTTGTATGCAATCAGGCAGGCCCTTGCACTACATAGTTGAAGGTAAATTTAACAGGAAAATTGTATAATGTATAGCCATAGCCAGCTATACAATAGTTTTAGAAATCTTGTTAATAATTCCATAATAAAATGAGACCTTAACGCAGTGCAGCCATGCAGAAGCCTGACCAAGCTCCGTCACTGACTACAAAATATTTTCGGGATGGTAACAGAGAAAGTATTGACCATAGACATAGTCCGATAATGGAGGTTCACAGTTGCAAACTGCATATTTTTCTCATGACAGATTTACCAGCAGGTATGTGCTCCTTTGGGCAAAGAGGAACATGATGAGCACTGCCAGAGCCCTACAAAATGACCTCCAGCAGGCCACTGGTGTAAATGTCTGACCAAACAATCAGAAACAGACTTCATGAGGGTGGCCCTGAGTGCCCAACATCCTGTAGTGGGTGCTGTGTTCATTGGCCAACACCATAGAGCTTGATTGGCATTTTCCACTGAACACCAGAATTGGCAGGTCCACCACTGGCGCCCTGTGCTTTTTACAGATAAGAGCAGGTTCACCCTGAGCACATGTGACAGACGTGAAAGGGTCTGGAGAAGCAATGGAGAACGTTATGCTGCCTGTAACATCGTTTAGCATGACCGTTTTGGTGGTAGGTCAGTGATGGTATGGGGAGGCATATCCATGGAGGGACGCACAGACCCTTACAGGCTAGACAATGGCACCCTGACTGCCATTAGGTATCGGGATGAAATCCTTGGACCCATTGTCAGACCCTACACTGGTACAGTGGGTCCTGGGTTCCCCCTGGTGTACGACAATGCCCGGCCTCATGTGGCGAGAGTATGCAGGCAGTTCCTGGAGGATGAAGGAATTGATACCATTGAATGGCCCCACACTCGCCTGTCCTAAATCCAAAAGAACGCCTCTGGGAAATCATATTTTGGTCCATCCGATGCCACCAGGTTGCACCTCAGACTGTCCAGGAGCTCAGTGATGCCCTGGTCCAGATTTGGGAGGAAATACCCCAGGAGACACCATCCGTTGTCTCATTAGGTGCATGCCCCGACGTTGTCCGGCAAGAATACAAGCACATAGGGGGCCATACAAACTGAGTACCATTTTGAGTTGCTGCAATGAAATTTCAGCACACTGGACTAGCCTGCTGCATAATTTTTTCACTTCGATTTTCGGGGTGTATTTGAATTCAGTCTTCTGTAGGTTGATCACTTTTATTTCCATCAAACGATGAGGCATCTTTACCTTCCTAACACATTACCCAGTTTATATCCTTATAGATATCCAGTATGATATTTTTCCCCATTGAGACCTGATGTGTTTTCAAAGTGTTCCTTTAATTTTTTTTTTGAGCAGTGTATAATGAATGCTCAGGGGGCACATATTCTGAGCTATTGCAGCATTTATTTTAAAGTGTTCATCTTATCCAAAAACTGCCTATGCAGGTAAGGGGCATCTATAGATAGATAGATAGAAACAAACTGTTCAGCTTTGACTAAAGTTTAATAATGCCCTTCCTATAGGTGTAGGCTATTTATGTACCTAATAAAGCCTGACTGAAAACTCCTAGGATGTTGCTAAGCATCCTAGGATGCTATTACTGTTCACCTTCACTATCACAGCAGCGACCTCTTTCTCTGATTCAAACATCCTCATATGCACTTTCCGTCCTCTGATATAGTAGCTCTAAGCTCAGAGTTTGAGAGCTCACTGCTGTGATGGTGAAGGTGAACCGTAATAGCTGTATCTCGCTTATCAAGGTCCTAGGAGTTTTGAGGTCAAGCTTCATGAGGTGTGTAATTGGCCTACACCTATAGCAAGGGCATTATTTATCTTTGGTCATAGCTGCACAGTTTGTTTTTTTTATCTATAGATGCCCCTTATCTGCATATGCATTTTTTTGGTAAAGGTGAACTAACCCTTTAAAGTAGTATTTTTGGTGTGTTGTTTTTTGTGGGTTTTTTTTTTTACAGTTTTACTGTATATACTAACATGATTTGATCATTTGGAAATGTTCCATTTAGTAATCACCTGTAAGGAATAAAATTTATTGTCTCTGCTTAAAGTGAAAAGGGAGACATATGTAGACTACTGTTTATGATCCTTTTTTGAAAGGAAATACACAGTATAATTTTTTTGTACAAAATTTCATTTATTTTCTCGTATTTATTATAGAACAATTTTTTATTTTATTTTTTAAATTTTGCATATTTTTTTTTTCTGCTTTTGAGCTAGCAGGTAGAGCATGTAATGATTGTATTTAACATATGAATCCCTTTTTAATGTCACATGCATATTTTGAGTATTATCATTGCCGATATTTGCCCCATATAGTTAAAATATTACAATATTTTTCATATGAGCCCTTTCACGTGAATATAATCTGATCGCTGAGAGCTGCTGTTTTTTAAAAATCACGTTTCTGCATATATTTTGTAAATATATCCGGGGGGTAATTCATAAGTAAGTGTGTGTATGTGTGCGTATATATATACTGGGTGACTGCGGGCACAGTACAGGGGGGGGACTGCTGCGGGCACAGTACAGGGGGTGACCAGAGACTGCGGGCACAGTACAGGGGGTGACCGGAGACTGCGGGCACAGTACAGGGGGTGACCGGAGACTGCGGACACAGTACAGGGGGTGACCGGAGACTGCGGGCACAGTACAGGGGGTGACCGGAGACTGCGGGCACAGTACAGGGGGTGACCGGAGACTGCGGACAGTGAATGAGATTACCAGAGACTGCGGACCTTTGGGGAGGGGAAACGGGTACCTGAATTTGACAGGTACCCGCTCCCACTTCCGCGGAGTTGTCCTTCCTTCTTCCCACGGCTTCTGTGACAGCCGGGTGCCCACTGCGCATGCGCGAGAAGTGCTGCGCTTTGTGAATGGCCCGGAGCCTTCTTGGACCTGTCATGTGTTCCAGAAGACACCGGGCCATTCACAAAGCGCAGCGCTTCTCGCCCATGCACGGTGGGTACCTGGCTGTCACAGAAGCCGCCGCAGGAAGACTGGAGCGAGGAACAGGTAAGGTCCTGCTGGAGAGAAGAGCTGAGCGGCCGGCCCAATATTCTAACATGGTGGCGGCAGAAATACCGTACCGTCTGCTTTACATTCGCTCCATAGGACGCACTGACATTTTCCCCCCTTTTTTGGGGGGAAAAAAGTGCGTCTTATTGAGCGAAAAAATACGGTATATACAGTTGTGTTCAAAATAATAGCAGTCAGACATCACTAACCTGATCAATCACTGTTTTTGGTAGAAATGATATTTCTACATGGCAAATAATTTACTAGCAGGTGTAGTAGAGTAATAGAAATCCAACAGACCCAACAGTCATGACATGCATGCTGCTGATTCTGTGTAATTTAATCATTAATTGAAAGGGGCATGTTCAAAATAATAGCAGTGTGGAGTTTTATTAGTGAGGTCATTCATTCTTTGAAAAAACAGGTGGCAATTATTGCCCTTATTTAAGGAAGGAAGGCAGCAAATGTTGTACATGCTGGTTACAGTGCATTTCTCTCTGAAATTCTGAGGAAAATGGGTCGTCCCAGACATTGTTCAGAAGAACAGCGTACCTTAATTAAAAAGTTGATTGGAGAGGGGAAAACAAACAAAGAAGTACAGAAAATGATAGGCTGCTCAGCTAAAATGATCGCAAATGCTTTAAAATGGCAACCAAAACCTGAAAGACGTGGAAGAAAGCGAAAAACTACCATTCGAATGGATAGAAGAATAGCCAAAATGGCAAGGACTCAGCCAACAATCAGCTCCAGGAAGATCAAAGAAGGTCTAAAGTTCCCTGTGAGTACTGTTACAATTAGAAGACGCCTATGTGAAGCCAAGCTATCTGCAAGAAGCCCCCGCAAAGTCCCACTGTTGAAAAAAAGATGTGCTGAAGAGGTTACAATTTGCCAAAGAGCACATTGACTGGCCTAAAGAGAAATGGCGCAACATTTTGTGGACTGATGAAAGTAAGATTGTTCTTTTTGGGTCTAGTGGCCGGAGACAGTTTGTCAGACGACCCCCAAACACAGAATTCAAGCCACAGTACACTGTGAAGACAGTGAAGCATGGTTGCACAAGCATCATGATATGGGGATGTTTCTCATACTACGGTGTTGGGCCTATTTATCACATACCAGGGATCATAGATCAGTTTGAATACGTCAGAATACTTGAAGAGGTCATGCTACCTTATGCTGAAGAGGAAATGCCCTTGAAATGGGTGTTCCAATAAGACAAGGACCCCAAACACACCAGTAAATGTGCAACATCTTGGTTCCAGACCAACAAGATTGACGTTATGGAGTGGCCAGCCCAATCCCCGGATCTTAATCCAATACAAAACTTGTGGGGTGACATCAAAAATGCAGTTTCTGAGGCAAAACCAAGAAATAGAGAAAACTGTGGAACTGTGGAATGTAGTCCAATCATCCTGGGCTGGAATACCTGGTCACAGGTGCCAGAAGTTGGTTGACTCCATGCAACACAGATGTACAGCAGTTCTCAGAAACAGTTCTCAGAAACAGTGCTTATACAACAAAATATTCATTAAGTGATTCAAAAGAAAGCAAAATCTTCAAACATTTTGCAGTTTATATAGTGAATGTTTGAGTTTGTAAAGAAGAATACAAACACTGCTATTTTTTTTTTGAACAGTCTCAATATTCACTTTTCTTCAATTTTTTTAGGGAACAACATAAAATTTGATATATTTTTCTTCGTGTTTTGATTTGGAATAGAATGTGTAGTGTTCCCAATGCATTTGTGTGTATGGAAATAAAAAGCTATTAGAAGGATTTTGAGCTTTATTCACTTTTTTCAACACACTGCTATTATTTTGAGAGTGTGTGTGTGTGTGCATATATATATTTTTTTTTAATTCACATTTATTTGCAAGCCTAGTCCTCCAGCAAAAAGCTATATTACTACCTGGGAAGTTTGCAGTAACATTTCTTTTCAATGCTACCAGGTGGAGCCCTCCAGATCATTCCTTTTATGTCACAGTGGACAACTTGCATAAAAATAAAAGATCACTGTCAGCCATTTTTCATTTTTGCTGAATAGCTTGGTCTGTATGAAATATGGTATAAATATGAATAAAGGTACACAAAATAAAAAGGAATTATTACCAAATTTACTATGCGTTTCTGCCCACTTTATACATCAGGGTGTTCCCATAATTAAATAAGTAAAAAAAATCCTGGTGGTATAGTAGGGCCTCTTTTTGTTAAGACCACAGCAGGTAGGCAGATCTGTGAACTCAAGTGAAGAGATCATGCCACCAGAATTCCAAAAGAGATGCAAGTGGAATAAAGTCTCCGGCATCAACTTTTGAGTATTGTCCTTTTAAACATACAATTCAGTTAACAAGATTGTGTATGGACTTAGAGTTTTGCAGTTTCTTGCTGCTACATTTACTGTATATATTGTCAGTGATCATGTTTTTCCTGTAGATGGAGCCCCAGAAGAGGATGTTGTGGAGACTCCTGCTATATCTCAAGAGCATACACACCAGGAAATAAAGGGACACAAGACTCTAGCAACTCCAGCTGTCAGACGTCTTGCCATGGAGAACAATGTATGTTTTAATTTACTGGCATATAAATCTTTAAATCAATGCTATGTTGAAGGTACTGTTAGCTTTGCACTTCACCTGAATGTTCAGGTAATAAATAAACATTAAACATCTTTAACTTGTGAAATATGGTTGCTTGTGTTAGGCCAAGTAAGCCCTAATTAAATATACAAATGTGCCTTATTTAACAGCTGCTTTCAGCTTTCTGTCTCACCCAGTTTCCCCATGTTTGAGGTTGTTACCTGTGCATATTCCTGAGTAGGATGACAAATTTTATATAGCTGGGGTATATAGAGAGGTTAGAATCTCTATCAACTCTTTACTGCTGTCTGTGTAAACCTCACTTGCTGCCCCCAGTAAGCAGGAACAAAAACAGAAAGGCTTAAGCTTTCTCTTGCTACTAAAGCAGATGTTTCATTGCTGTCTGTTACCCTGTTTTTGTGTGACATTTCCCCTCATTTTCTGCCCAAGATTGCAGCTGTTACCTGAACAGAAAGTGAGATAAATCCATTGGACACCCAGATATCAGAAAAACCTGACAAAGGATCTTATTCTTCCCCAGACTATGTAAATCTAGAGTTTTGGCTAGACTTCTGCTTTTTGAGAATGCAAGGTAGACAGCTTTGTGCCACCACCATTTTGAGGAGCATCAACCACAGGATGGGTTGGAAAATTATACCAATAACCTTTTATTTTGGTGAAGAAATAATTGTTGCTGGAATTGTCCACCTCTGCATGCTTTTAGCATTATAGCTTACGTATGTGATTACTGGGGGATTCAAATATATTTTGATAGTTGAGATTGTTTCTTAGCATGCAATAAGCCTTTTTTATATTTTTAGACCTACATAATATTTATATTGCAGGTAGGTACTTCTCTGACAGAAACCCTAATTTAGTGCAAGGTGCACATTAAAATGTATACAAGGTGCTGAAGCCTGTGTGTTCTTTGATCTTGTTTTAGATAAAACTAAGTGAAGTAGTGGGCACTGGACGGGATGGCCGTATCCTAAAAGAAGACATTTTAAGCTTTCTGGCCAAACAAACAGGAGCCATATTACCACCTTCTCCACAAATAGAGATCATACCACCTCCTCCTAAAGCAGAGATCCCCAAGACATCCCAGAAACAGATAACCCCTAGTATTCCTGTGACATTTACTAAACCCATCACGTTCTCTGGAAAGGATGTGACAGAGCCATTGAAAGGTAACACAGTGCTGACAAACAGAAACATGTGCATGTGGGTTGTTGTGTTTCTTTTGTTTTTTTTTAATACCATAACTAAGCGGTCTGATAAAATGCAGTCTATTATTCCAAAATTCAGTGACTGACTGTGTAACCATTAATTTCAGTTACATTTTATTTATTTCAGGTACTTATATAGCACCATCAGTTTACATATATGTATATTGTACATTCACATCAGTCCCTATCCCTCAAGGGGTGTACAATCTAAGGTCTCTAACTCACATTCATAAATACACATACTAGGGCCAATTTTAGACAGGAGTCAATTAACCTACCAGGATGTCTTCGGAGTGTGGAAGGAAAGCGGAGTACCCGGGGGAAACTCATGCAGGCACAGGGTGAACATGCAAACTCCAGGCAGGTGGTGCCGTGGTTGGGATTCGAACTGATGACCCTAGTACTGCCAAGCAGAAGTGCTAACCACTTAACCACTGTGCTCCCCTAAACATGCACAGCAGGTTTAATTAATAATTATTAATATACCACTTTCAGTTGCAATATGCCTCCTAATAAGCTACCAAAGATGTACATTTGTCACCTAATTTTTAACACCACTTTTGCTCAAATGGGTAAAAAAGAAAATTCACAGCCAGAAAGCCAAGTGTTGTGTCTGCCATACCCAGAAGGACAAACTAATAGTCATAGGAGGAAAGATCACAAAGCAGCATGCAGCTTCAGCCTACAGCTTGGCATCAATGGGTTACAGCAAAGGAAGACATTCAGAATATTTTGAGAGGTACAGGGCAATGTGGATGATTGGCGTATCATCAAATATATGCTACGGACAGTCTTTTCAGATGTACTTTGTAAAAGGGTAAATCCTATAACAACATTTCTAACCCACTGAGCACTTGTACAGTTTATGTGCAGAACATACAAAGGATTGTTTATAAACTAAAATAACATATACTTATTTACAATGGACCAAACGTTTGTCTCCAGTTTACTGGAAATTTACACTGTTTTCTCCATGTTAAATTTTTTGTAATGTTTTATTAACGTAGGATTCCATAAAGCCATGGTGAAGACCATGTCTGCGGCATTAAAGATTCCTCACTTTGGGTACTGTGATGAAATTGATATGACACAGGTTGCCCAGCTGAGAGAGGACCTGAAGCCTGCAGCTGAAGCACGAGGGGTTCGTCTGTCATTTATGCCCTTTTTCCTCAAGGTGAGGTTATAAAAATTCAACACTCCCCATATTTTCCTACACTGCGTTCACACCTTTTGTTTGGGAAATGGGGTTTAAACCTTATAGTAACAGTATTGTTGCATAGGTTGTCAAATAGAAAATCTGTCAATGATAGTGGCGCCCATTTACTGTACATGCTATTAAACTGTCTTGGACTAACAGGTGTACTATATTTACGCCTGCAGGCAAGATTCCACTCAATGGCAAAGGGTACTTGTCAATGATGGTAACCGTTGTGAATTTCCACAAAGAATGCAAGGAACATCACAAGTGGAATTTTAGGTGTGTGTGTGTTTGTGTGTGCGAATAAGTTCACCTTTTTATAAAAAATTAAATAAATAAATGCACTTTTTTTTTTTTTTTTTTCACACTGACATGAAGAATCCATGAACTACCACATCGCACATCGCCATGGCAGTTCATTGAGAACTACAAGCTGACAGCTACAAAAGATGTCGGTACTTGTAGTTAATTAATTCACAAAACTCTGTAAATTAATGATTTGGCTGTGTGGGCGGAGCCACTCTCTTCTAAAAGTGACAGCTGGTAAGGGGAACTTCTCCTTACACTGCTGCCTGTCATGGAAATTTTGTATTGTTGGTCGAACTTTAAATGTGTCATATATTCGTGTTATTCATATGTCTCTCGTGTGGCTTAATTAAAGCTCTGAAGGCTGCAATTGGGCCATGCGCATGTACAATGTATGTATTACAGTACTCGCTCGGTAATGGATGAGATGGCGGATCTGCGCTTATAGACCGGCGTGTATACCACCACGGCATTCGATGCGAATGCCGCTGGCAGTAGACCGCGGGCCTGTATCCACATATCAGCAGCATAGTACCACATGGACTTCGTGCCGCAAGGCGCCAAGCAGTACGAACTCCGCGTGTAGGCTTATGCATATCTTACAACCCATTACCAACTTGAAACTGTATCTTGGATGGATGTGTTTTAATAAAGATCGTATCGGGCCCATCCAGGTACAGACTGGTGTTTAGCTTAGGGAATGCTTGTACAAAGAATTTACATACCAATAGGAGCTAGTAGGACAGGAAGTTTGCTGACCTCAGAAGGCTCATGGGGGAGGACCAGTGATAGATAATAGGAAAGGCTATGCTCCAATCGGAATGTATATCCTGTGTATAGGCACTCCCCATTGCATTGTTCGGTGGGAGGGGATTGACTTTATTCATGTGGGGGGCATGTGTGTGCTTGTAATAAAACCGGGGGCTGAGTCTGAAGCCGGCCCTTATGTGAATTGCAACACTAGCCTTAGAGTGTCGTGTGATGATTCTAGGGTAACGGAGCTCCATCACCCACATTTCAACAGAAGCTAAAGTAGCTGGATGGGCAGGAATCGTGTAGTTTAGCTGCAGTCGTGGTAAGCGAGATTCGCACAGCTTTATGGGGGATTTCTGCGCATCCAACTGCGAGTACTCACGGTAAGGAGAAATTCGTTAAAGCGAATTTCCAAGACATGCCACACCAGGTGCTTGAATCCCTGAGCAGCTGCAAACCAGAGGAACATGTAACATGTTCCCAAAGGTGAACTTATCCTTTAAACTGTCAGATCCTAAAACCTGATGTGGAAGTATCTTGTGGTGCCTGCAAGCACCTGTGTTAACCTTTAACGCAATCCCACTGAAGCCCCCTTGCATTCCATGTGCAGTCTGCAAAATGAGCCAGGACTTCTAAGTCAGCATTAAAACTCACCACTGCCATGCAACAGTTTTAATTTTGAATCCTCTTCTCACTAATGAGGTTCTGGCACTAGACTATTGTTGAAAAAGGGGTGTAGAACTTGGTGCTGACTTGGACAAAAGTCAGGACCCTATATACATCCTGGGCCTTAAATCCAAAGGACTCTACAGGTACACAGGAGCTAAATAAAAAAACTATCCTAGGTCCTTGCTTAACCAGTTCTTAGGATGTGACAGGTTATCACCCTTCGTTAGAAACACCTTCATATGAAAGTGATGTAGCTATTAAACAAAAAGAAAAATCAAAACATTAATGTATTGCAGCTTAAAATCCTTAAATGTGTTGGCTGAATCCGTTTTCTTTTTTTGTCTTTATTTCCTTTATTCTTACCTGGTCATCAGGCCAGTAACACACATCCTGTCTTAATGTGTCTCCACTCTGGATAGAGGAGCTGTAAGGGACCGCCTGGCGACACCACTAGCACTCCACTAATCAGGCGTCCCCAGCGCACGGAGTCTAAGTCCCAGAGTACTTGTTCACCAGAGCCCCTGATGGTGGGGATGGACTTGGAGTACCCCGGGACCAGGTCGTGCTTACTGAGGGCACCCGTCAGTGGTGGGGTGGTCGCCAGGGGCTCCCACGGGAAGAGAGCCTGATATGAGGAGGTCTGGGAACCCCGCTGAGAGGAATGGATGGATGGATGGATGAGCAAGTGCAGAGTCAGGCAAGCCGGGTCGGTAACGGGGAGGACAGCACGGTACAAGGCAGCGGGCAGAGAATAGTCGGGTCACACGCCAGGTCATCAACAGTAGATCAAATCCAATAGGGGACATACGGAAGAGAGGTCAGGCAAAGCAAGGGTCTGGGCAGGAGAATTCAGCAGTGGTCAGGTACAATCCGGGTCAGCAACTTACAGGTTCAGGTTCAGATACAGGATACAGGATACAGGGCAAGGACAAGACCAGAAGGCACTGAATGACAGCTCAGGGCCGTTTAAATATCGCGCCCTGCGCTGCCATTGGTGCCCAGCGGGCGGCCGCGGCTCCTATTGCGCATGCGCGAACTCACGCGCCGCGGCCGGCCCGGACCTAGAGCCCGCGTCCCTGCACAGGGCGGCATACTGCGCCTGCGCCGGGACCATCGCGGCGGGGATCGAGGGGATCCCTGACATTGCCCCCCCCCTACGGGCAACCTCCGGATGCCCACCCGATCTCTCCACCACGGGTGGTCACGAAGAAACCCCCGGACAAGTCTGGGTGCATGGACATTATGGGCTGGTTCCCAAGAATTGTCCTCGGGGCCATAGCCCTTCCATTTTATAAGAAATTGGGTCTGGCCCCCCCTTCTTCGGCACTTCAGGATCGTTTCCACCTCATATTCTTCTTGTCCCTCCACCGTTATGGCCTCCGGAGGTCTGGATTCACGTTCTGGGAAGGCATCCGGGATCACACAGGTTTAAGTAAGGACACGTGGAAAAACAGGATGAAATTCTGAATGTTTCAGGGAGGGTAAGTTCATATGCCACCTCGTTGACCATTCGCTTCACACAAAAAGGCCCCCACGAATTTAGGTCCCAATTTCTTTGAGGGACAAAGCATTCTCAAGTTGGTTGTTGCCAACCAGACCTTATCCCCAGGCTTCAGCACCAGATTCCCTCTTCGTTTCTTGTTATATGCATTCTTGTTATCCTCCTGGGCCCGAGCGATGGCTTCCTGTAGTACTTTGTTGTTCGAAGAGAAGAAGTTTAATGCGTCTTGCGTTGCCGGAACTGGGCACTCAGAGACCAAATCAGGAAGAAAGACAGGGTGAAATCCGTAATTAGAGAAGAACGGAGATTGCCCTGTCGCTGAATGGCTTGCGTTGTTATATGCAAATTCCGCTAAAGGTAACAGTGGTAACCAATTATCTTGAAGGAAGGATGTGTAGCAACGCAAGTATTGTTCTAGGGTCTGGTTTGTCCTCTCGGTCTGTCCGTTGGTCTGAGGGTGGAAAGCAGAGGAGAGGGACAACTTGATATCCAGGGCCTTGCACAGGGCCCTCCAAAATCTAGATGTAAATTGGACCCCGCGATCCGAGACGATGTCCTCCGGGATTCCATGTAACCTTACGATTTCCTGGATGAATATTCGCGCAGTCTCAGACGCAGACGGAGTCCTCCTCAATGGTACAAAGTGAGCCATTTTCGATAATCGATCGATGACCACGAAGATCGCGGTGTGTTGTGTTCTTGGGACGGTGGGAGCTCGACTATAAAGTCCATTGCGATCCCTTGCCACGGTCGTTCAGGAATCGGCAAGGGACGCAGCAGTCCCCAAGCCTTGTTCCTCGATGGCTTGTTTTTCTGGCAGACGGTACAGGATCTCACATAGAGTTTACAATCCTTGGCCATACTTGGCCACCAAAAAGAGCGTTGGAGAAGCTCCAGGGTCTTGGCTGGGCCAAAGTGTCCCGCCATCGGTGGTCATGGCAATGTCCCAGGACAAGGGTCCGGACCTCTTCAGGGACCATGACCAACCCATCCTTCCATAGGAGTCCCCCTTGTTCTGGAGGGACACACCAACTGGGACTGACGCGGCCGTGGATGCCTCCAATAGTTTGGACCGAAGGTCCGTCTGGAGCGCCAAGAAATTTCCTGCAGACAGAATCGTATCAGGTACCGGATCTTCTTTGGAGTCTTCAAACATGCGAGATAGTGCATCAGGTTTCGTATTTTTAGATCGGGCCTATACGTGATGTGAAAAATGAACCTGGAGAAGAACAATGCCCATCTTGCCTGCCGTGGGCGTAAGCGTTTGGCGGTCCTTAGGTACTCGAGATTCTTGTGATCAGTGAAGATCAAGATGGGGTGCGAGGCACCTTCCAGCAGGTACCTCCATTCTTCGAGAGCTGTTTTGATGGCCAACAACTCTCGATCGCCGATATCGTAGTTCTTTTCTGCTGGGGTAAGTTTCCTTGAGAAGAACGCTACAGGATGGAGCAACTCTTTGGTGCCCTTTCGCTGGGACAGGATGGACCCGCATTCTCTGAAGCGTCTACTTCCAAGATGTATGGCAGGGGCAGCGTCCGGGTGGCCCAGAATGGGTGCCGAGGTAAAGAGTTTCTTCAAGGCCTCAAAGGCTTCCTGAGCCTCCGGCGTCCATCTGAACCGGGTTCCAAGCTTGGTCAACTGAGTTATGGGGGAGACCAGACCCGAGAAGTTCTTAATGAACTTCCGGTAGAAATTCGCAAAACCGATAAACCGCTGGACGCCCTTCTTGTCCGCGGGTACCGGCCAC